TCTTGCAGCCCTTCCTGCTCCTCTCAGCCACGGGATTTTGGCTCCACAGACACATCCTTGGGGGCTGTTTTCTCTGGGATAAACCCTCAGGAGAAAACCTTTCCATGCGCTTAATAAAGGGCTTTTACAAGTCCTGCAGCACTGGAGCATGTGCTGAGCTGAACAGAGGCTTTAATTCGTCCTTCTAGAGCTGGGCTTTGGGCAGGCTTAACCCTCCCTGTCTTGCAGCCCTTCCTGCTCCTCTCAGCCGTGGGTTTTGGGCTCCACAGACACATCCTTGGGGGCTGTTTTCTCCGGGGCAGTTTCCACACGTTCCCTGCTCCGTGTGAGGACTTGGCAGGGAGGGTTTGCTGGGCTGGAGGGTGAAGTTTCCTCTCCAGGAGGAAATAGAAACGTCCTTCTAACAAAATAAGTCTTCTGACTGTGTGACCTGGCACGGGGCTGGGGTTTGGGTTGGAAGACTTTGGGGCTGGGAATACAGGGCCAGCTCAGCCTCTCCAGAGCTGCAGTTGGGATAAATGGGATAATATTGGAGGGCTGCAGCTCTGCCAAGGGCACTTTTCCTTGGAGTTTTCCTCCTAACATGCACACCAGCCCCGAGTTCCCTGTGCTCCTGCTTCCAAGGACAAGCTTCAGAGCACTTCAAGCATCTTGAGTGGTGATGAACCAGGGGTGTTAAACCTCTGGCATCCAATTGATGGTTAAATCAATCCAACCCCTCCTGGAGGGGGAGCAGAATTGGCCCATCTCTGGTCCTGGCGCTTCCAGGTCTGTTCATGCAAAGACTCCCATTGCCTCAATCCTTTGGGGACAGGAGCTGTGGGCTCTGTGCATCCCAACTGCTGTGGGTGATGTCTCTGCAGTAATTGTGAGGATCAGAGTCCTGGGAAGGGACCTCCAGCAGGTCTCTAATTGCAGGGAGGGTCATTAACAGCAGCCGGGCACCGTGGAGCACCTGCAGTACTTCCCTTTCTGTTGGATTCCCTGGAAACCCCTGGGAAAAAAAAAAAATCCCCTTTTTCTCCTGTGCTTGCAGGGAAAAGCTTTTGTGAAGGAAAGCCTGAAGTGCATTGCCAACGGGGTGACGTCCAAGGTGTTCCTGGCCATCCGCAGGTGCTCCACCTTCCAGAGGATGATCTCCGAGGTGCAGGAGGAGTGTTACAGCAAGCTGGACATGTGTGGCATCGCCAAACGGAACCCTGAGGCCATCACAGAGGTCGTGCAGCTCCCAAACCAGTTCTCAAACAGGTATGTGGGGCAAAAATAGAGGAATGGGGTGAAAAGAGCAGGGCCGGGCTGACTGAGCTCCTACAATCCCAGTGCAGCTCAGCCCTGCCCTGCTCTCTGCCTTTTCAACTCCTTGGCAGGTTTTGCCAGCCTTCTTCTGCTTCTCTGTCTTGGTAAACACACTTATAAACATCTCCAGAGAATAAAATTAACTGGGCATTGGTTACTTCAAAGCCTGGAGCTTGTTTAAGTGTTAATCCTTTGGGTGGGAGGGCAGTGTGATGGTGAGCAGGGCTTTTAAATCCCAAACCAGATCCGTTCATTCAGCATCCCTGGAATACTGAGCACTTCATAGGGTAGAAACATAGACTCCTGGAATGGTTTGGGTTGGAAGGGACCTCAAAGCTCATCTCCTTCCACCCCCTGCCATGGGCAGGGACACCTTCCTCTGGCCCAGGTTGCTCAGAGCTCCATCCAACCCTTCTCCACCCACTGCAGCTTCATTCCCTTCTCCAGACTGCAGCCACCCCCAACTTGGGTTTATATGGCACTTGGAAAATGAGTCCTTGCCCTCTGCCTTCCCAGGAAAAACCAGGAAAAGCTAAAGGGAACCAGCAAACCTGATCCTCTGTCGCCTTATTCCGCCATAACCTGGTGGTTCATATTTCTAGGGATGCTCTGGGCTCCTGAGTGGTCTGGTTTAGGGTTGTCTCCAGCCCTGGTCTGGTTTAGGGTTGTCTCCAGCCCTGTTCCCTCTGGTGGCACAGGCTCCCTGCAGGAATGGGCACATCACGGGGCTGGCACCTTGATGTGAGCCCAGAACTGCCCCGTCCCCTCCTGCAAGGACAAGGGACACCTTCAGGGAGTGCTGCAGTCTGCTCAGTCACACTGCAAGGGCAGGCACTGCTTCCCCTGAAGCCTGGAACAAGCAGTGCTGAGTCTTGTGATCGGGATAAAAGGGATCTTTTGGAGTAAATACGCTCTAGAATTGGAGTGCAAACAGGGTGAGCTGCAGTGGCTGGTCGTGGCAAACCCCTCAGCTCCTCTGGGGTGGCTGCTTGGCTTGATCTAGAAGCACCTGAAGCCTCCAGACCTATCCTAGGACAGGTCTGCAAGTGCTAAACAGATGAACAGATGTTACATCTCTGCCCAGCATGGATTTATCCACAGAATCACAGAATATCCTGAGCTGGAAGGGACAAACAAGGATCACTGAAGCCCTTGTCCTGTTATACAGAACTCTGGTGTAGATATTAAATCAGGAAATGACACTTGTGGGAAGGCAAAACTATACTGGGGAGGGAAAGGTAAAAATGATATTTGTGTGTCTTTCCCCTCTTTCCCCGAGGAAAGCTGGAAGGGATTTGCTTTGGTGTCCCCTGAGGGCTGGGACAAGGAGCATTCCCAGGTTGAACTGGTGGGTTGTGGAGTCAAAAGGATGGGTTGTAGAGTTAAGGGATGGATTGTAGAGTTAAGTGATGGATTGTAGAGTTAAGTGATGGATTGTAGAGTTGAGTGATGGATTGTAGAGTTAAAGGGATGGATTGTAGAGTTAAAGGGATGGATTGTTGAGTTAAGGGATGGATTGTAGAGTTAAAGGGATGGATTGTAGAGTTAAAGGGGTGGATTGTAGAGTTGAAGTGATGGATTGTAGAGCTAAAGAGCCCTTGGTGGGGCTGGAGGGGGGTTGGGGTGAGCAGGGGACGTGTGGACACTTGGGCAGTGCTGGGGATGTTCCTCCCAGAGGACCAAGCCAGGGCTGGATCCTCTGTCTCCCGAGGAGGAGGGAACTCCTCCCCCACAGCTGCCAGCCCCTGCCAGAGCCAGAGGATATTATGACATGTTGAGTAACAAAAGCAGCAGGATTTCCCAGCTAATAGTTTACACTGAGGGCTCCTAAAGCATCCTGCTTTCCCAGCCCCTGTCCCAACATAGCCACGGAATAAGAATGTGCCACTTGGCCTGAGCTGCTGAGAGGAAGTAGTTAAAGGTCATAGCACCTTCCTGTGATTTAATCTCGTGGCAGGAGCGGCAGGAGAGGAAAGTCCTGCTGCCTCTGCTCACAGCTGAGCTGCTGAAGGCACTGCCAAGCTCTGGGGTTGCAGCTCCAGCCATGGAAAGCACCAAGGCTGGCTGGGATCTGCCCCTCCTGTCCCGTTAGGCTGGGACTGATTTAAACTGGAGTGTGGCTCGTTCACCATCAGCTGCTGGGCTCCCTTGAACCCCCAGCCCCAGCCCTGCTGGGCTGTGCTCACACCCAGCCAAAGCCTGGGCCTTTTGTGCTTCAAGTGCAGCACAAACTTTAACCTCAGCTGACCTCCCCTGGCTGCTCCAAAGGCCAGAGCTGAGAGTTGGGAAAGGAGTTTGGATGTGAGCTCTCATTTCCCTCTTCCTTCCCCTCCTCCACCTGCAGGTTGTTCTCTTCTCTGCTCCTGTGGAAAAATGTCACGGTGACCTTAAAGGCTTAAAATAAGTTCCCCGACGTCCTTTCAGGCAGCAAATATGGGATTGCTCCTCTTTTTCCCACTTCTTTTTCCCTGGGAAGGTGTTCCCTGATCCAGTGAGGTGCCAGCTCTGCTGTCCCAGCCCCTGCTCGTGGGGCTGTGCTGGCTCTGCCTTCTCCCCATGGAGGATCATTCCCGGGATCACTGTTCTCACAGGGCTGGGAAAACGGATCAGCACAATTTCCTGGCTCCTCCTGGAGCAAGGAATACGTGCTCGGGGCTGCTGGAAGAGAAAAATGAAGCTTTAGGGAGACAGGCTCGTAGCAGGGGGAAGCACAAGGTCCTCACTTGGGATTTAATGCATGAGAGTGACAACCGTGTGTCCTAAAGATCTGTCCCGAGGGAATCTGTGCATCTCTCAGGCTTGGAGTGACTGGCTGCTCCCTCTTGTGGTGCCCTGGAAAGGCTGTGCTTGCAGGGGAAGGCAGAGGGACAGGAGGGGATGGAGCCACAGGGATGGAGCCGTTCCCAGAAGGATCGTTCTGGCTCAGAGCAGGGCTCTGTTCAGTCTCGGATCCTGGCTGGGGATGGGCAGCACCTGCTGGTAGAAAGAGCGATTATTTTTCTTCCTAAAGCTCTAGAAACTTGGATTCTTTAGTGGAGAGTAAACCACACCCTTAAGCCAATTAGTACAGCCCTTAGCTCCTTGGTTTTACCTTCTTCCCAATCCACCAGAATAACAACAACCCCACTGTGCTTATATCCTCACCTTCCAGAGCTGCAGCAGCTCTGGGTGGGTTTGGAACTGGCCTGGCTGATCCTGTGCCACAACGTGGCTTTTTTTTTGGCCCATCAGAGCCTGGTCAGGCGACTGTGGGAGCAGGTTTAGGACAATTAAATCCGAATTTTGGTGGTTGTGTCCCATCCCTGTGTCATGGGCATGGCATCTCCATGTCCAGGGGGGTTGTTAGATGCAGTGACAACAGGGTTGGTCTTGGAGTTCTTTTCCAGCCTTAATGACCCTGTGGTGACATGTACATTGTGCACTGTCAGGATGAGGGACTTAAAAACTGATTCATAGAATCAGAGAATCAGCTGGGTTGGAAGGGACCTCCCAGATCATCCAGTCCA